CTCTTCTGGACTAGTGACTGATGAAGCATTCCCAGGACGCCAGAGACCGCGTGCATGAAAGAAATCAGAAAGGTGGACTTCATCAAATTTTAAAACTTCTGCTCTGTGAAAGGCCCTTTTAGCAGGACCGAAAGACAAGCCATGACTAGGAGAAAATGCCTACAAGTGGCCTGTCCACAAAGAACATCTGTAGAAACCAAATAATCCCCCTAGAAAATGGGAAAAGTGGCAGACATTTCACCAAAGAGGAGACGCTCCAATCACTAGCCAATTAATGAGAAACGCAAACTAACCCTAAAATTAAAAAAACACCGACATCGCCAAATGCTGGTGGGGATTCAGAGCCACTGGGTCTCCACACGTGGCCTGCGGGAATGGAACATGGTCCAGACACTCTGGAAAACCATTCGGCAGTTTCTCGAAAACTGAACATACCCGTTGCGCCAACTCAGCATTGACCCCAGGGAATGAAGATCTGCGTCCGTACACACACCTGCACTACACACACCTGCACGACAGGGTTCTCCCGCCTCATCCTGGAAATGACACGAAGGTCCTCCAACAGGCAAGTAGCTGCTCACGGGGACGTGCACACGGGGGGCACTCGGAAGCCACAAGAATGAAGTGGCCGACTCAGGCAACAGCCTCCAGAGATCATCTGCCGTGTGATTCCATTTCTGTCACACTCATGAAGTGACAGAGTCGCAGGGAAGGAGGGGGGGATTGCCCGGGGGAAAGGTTGGAGGTTGGGGGCGAGCGCAGAGGCTCCTCGGGCTGTGCCCTTGCTCCCCATCCTGACGGCGGCGGTGATGGTTGCACCGGGACCGTAACTGATGCTGCTACCCGTACACTTCGACATGGCTTAGCGCCTTGGCTGGCTCCGTCCCTGGAGCATACCACTCTGGATCTTGGGGTCACGAGTTCAAGCCCCATCTTGGACGTGGAGCCTACATTAAAAAATGGTTTAGGGAAGCTTCGGTGGCTCATTCGGTTAAGTGTCTGCCTTCAGCTCGGATCATGATCCTGGGGTCCTGGGATCGAGTCCCTCGTCAGGCTCCCTGCTCGGTGGGGAATCTGCTGCTCCCCCGGCTTGTGCTCTCTCTCTGACAAACGAATAAATAAAATCTTAAAAAAATAAAAATAGGGGCTCCTGGATGGCTCAGTGGGTTAAAGCCTCTGCCCTCAGCTCAGGTCACGATCTCAGGGTCCTGGGATCGAGCCCCGCATCGGGCTCTCTGCTCAGCAGGGGGCCTGCTTCCTCCTCTCTCTCTACCTGCCTCTCTGCCTACTTGTGATCTGTCAAATAAGTAAATAAAATCTGTAAAATAAATAAATAAATAAATAAATAATAAGAAATGGTTTCAACGGCCAGTTTTGTTATACACATTTTATTACCATTTACAAAATTAATAATGTAATATACCAAAAAACATTGAATTTAAATGGATGATTTGGATGGTATATGGATTACCAAATAAAGTTTTTTGTTAAATTTTATTTATTTGGCAGAGGGAGAAGCAGGCTCCCCGCTGAGCAGAGAGGCTGATGTGGGAGTTGAGTCATGACCTGAGCCGAAGGCAGACGCTTCACTGACTGAGCCACCCAGGTGCCCCTCAATAAAGTTCTTTTAAAAAATACCACAGGAGGGGCTCCTGGGTGGTTAAGTCAGTTGAGCACCCTACTCTTGGTTTTGGTTGAGGTCATGATGTCTCAGTGGTTTGGCTGAGCCCGGTGTCGAGGTCCATGCTCAGCACAGAGTCTCCTTCAGATTCTCTCTTCCTCTCCTCCCTCTCCTCTTTCTCCCCTCCTCCCTACCCCATTGTCTGTGCTGCAGGCTGCCTTCAGCTCAGGTCATGATCCCAAGGTCCTGGAATCGGGCCCCACATCAGGCCCCCTGCTTGGCAGGGAGTCCGTTTCCCCCCCCCTCCCACTCCTTCTTCTTGTGTTTCCTCTCTTGCTGTCTCTCTCACTGTCAAATAACATTAAAAAAATTTTTTTTACAGCACCTGAGTGGCTCAGTTGGTTAAGCGACTGCCTTCGGCTCAGGTCATGATCCTGGAATCCTAGGATTTGAGTCCCACATCAGGTTCCCTGCTCGGCAGGGACTCTTCTTCTCCCACTGACCTTTTTCATGTTCTCTCTCTCTCTCTCTCAAATAAATACATAAATAAATAATCTTTTAAAAAATTTTATAGAATTTTTTTTTGCCCAATAAATAAAATCTTTCAAAAGAAAATTAAAATAGGGGCATCTGGTGGCTCAGATGGCTAAGTGTCTGCCTTTGGCTCAGGTCATGATCCTGGGGTGCCAGGATCGAACCCCTCGTCAGGCTCCCTGCTCAGTGGGGAGTCTGCTTCTCTCTCTCCCTCTGCCTCTCCCCTTGCTCCTTCTATCTCTGTCTCTCAAATAAATAAATAAAATCTTTTTTTTTAAAGACTTTATTTGTCAGAGAGAGAGGAGCTAGAGCGAGCACGGGCAGACAGAGTGGCAGGCAGAGGGAGAAGCAGGCTCCCCGCCAAGCAAGGAGCCTGATGTGGGACTCGATCCCAGGACGCCGGGATCATGACCTGAGCTGAAGGCAGCTGCTTAACCAAATGAGCCACCCAGGCGTCCCAATAAATAAAATCTTTAAAAAATAAAATAATACACAGAATCATCCTTGAAGGTTCTTCCAATGGCCAAATTTTGGATCACAACAATGAGAGTAAAATATCCTTTTTCTTTGAATAAAATAAGACTCCCTGAGGGGCACCTGGCTGGCAAATGACTCTTGATATCGGGGCCATGAGTTCAGCCCCACACTGGGTGTGGAGATTACTTCAATAAATTAACTTTAAAAACAGAAATGAGAGTCCATGAGTCTTCACTGACATACACAAGTGAACAAAAATAGGTAAAGAGAAAGCTTTCTCCTCTATGACAGACAAAACAAGCAAACACTAGTGAGTGAAATGTGCATGAGGAATGCACTATTTACGTATTCTCAAAGTATTGCCCCATAAAACATTTACTAAAGACAAAGAGAGAAAGTAACCTAACAGTGAAGAATCCTGGGCAATTCCCCTTAAGTAATCAAAATAAACATCTCCAGTGTGGGGACAAACTGATGGGACCCAACAAAAAGCCCTCAGCCTCATCTCCATAGTATTTCTTTCTTTTTTTAAAGATTTATTTGAGAGAGAGCAGGAGCAGGGGGAGGAGCAGAGGCAGAGGGAGAACCAGGCTCCCACTGACCAGGCAGCCAAGGGTCTCCATCCCAGGATCCTGAGATCATGACTGGAGTTGAAGGCAGATGCTTCACTGACTGAGCAGCCCAGGCGCCCCCCTCCTTGGTGTTCCTGCCAATCTGAATCTAATCATGAGGCAACCAGACAAGTACAAGTTGAGCAACATGTTACAAAGGAGCTGGTTGGTGTCCTGCAAGTATCAAGGGCACGAAAGTCAAGACTGAAGTGTAGCTCTCGGTTGAAGGAGACTGAAAACTTTGCTAAAAGGTCATTATTGGGATAACTGGGGTAACTTGGGAATTTGAAGTGTCTGGGTCAGAGGTATGTGGAAGTTCTTGTTGAGACGTTTTCAACTCTTATGGGCAGCAACTGCGTGTCCGAGCATGTGGTTTCCTTGGAGAGGTGGGCATTTCCTCCGACTTGTCTATCGTCTTCCTCAGTTTCAGGCAAGGGGCTTTCACACAAGGTTCGGCTGGCAGTGAGCCTATGAAGTGCTGGTCGGTCTCACCTGGGGGCAAATCCCGACTCCTGGACCTTATTACCCACTGACTTCAGGGGCGTGCTGTTCCCTCTCAATGGCTCTCCCAGCCATCACTGTCCCTACAGGCTTTGTTCTAGCCCTTAGAGTGAAACAAAGATAATATCAACCTACTAAGGGGCTTATAACCTATGCAGAAGTACATAACATGACCCATGAGGCAAGGAATAGATGAAGGAAAAATCTTATATTAGAAAAGGTCTCAAATCAATGATCTCAGCCTTTACCTTAAAGAAACTAGAAAAAAAACAGCACATTAAACCCACAATAAGCAGGAGAAAGGAAATAGTAAGGTCGAGGTGGACATTCATTAAATCAGAAAAGAAAATAGAGAAAATGTATGAGTCCAACATGATTCTTTAGTGAGATCAACACAATGGACAAATCGGCAAGAGTGAGAAGTCACAAGCCGTCAGCATCAGGGAGCACACTCGACACTACTACAGACGCTACAGACGTTAAAGGATAGGGGAAGATTATGAACCACCTCATGCCAATGATTTTGACACTTCAGATTAAATGAACCAATTCCTTGAAAAACACAGACTACCAAAAGTCTCTCAAGAAGAAAGCGGCAACCTGAATAGCGAAGTGTCTATTAAAGGATTGTGGTCGAAAGATCTTTCGAGAAAGAAAATTTCAGGCGCAGATGGCTTCACTGGGTGGTCGACCAACCAACCACTCAATGAAGAAATGCTAGTTTCACAAAGTCCTCCCGAAAACGGAAGAAGAGGGAACGCTTCCCCAATCCTTCTGAGGCCAGTACTACCCCGATAAGAAAACCAGGGCTTTATATGAAAACTACAGACCCGGATGCAAAAATTCTAAACAAAATGTTAGCAAACCGAGTACAACAACGTATTAAAATGTAAGCATTCTCACTACCAGACTGGGGTTGCTCCGGAAACACAGGCTGCTCTAACCTTAGAAAGTCCATTAAAGTAATTTATGACGTGACTCTTCCAGCGACAGGAACTCTCTCCCCCGGGTCTGGCCGGCCCGCGGACCGAGGTCACACCGGGGATTCCCGGCTTCGGTCCGCGCGCCTGCCCCGCCCCCCCGCGGCTCCCGCCCCCGCTTTGGCTGGGCTCCCGGACCACAATGCCCCGGGCCTCGGCGTGGCCCCGCCTCCGCACGCCGACCCCGCCCCGCGCGCACAGTCGGCAGCCTCTGATTGGCGGCTGCGGCTTCCGTTCCCCTGATGGGCGGGTTCTCGGTGCCGGCGGCGGCGTGGGTGATCCGCGGGCACCAGCAGGCATGGGGGAGGCCGGGATTCGCACCGGAGCGTCGGCTGATGGGCTAGCTCCCGCAGGGTCGCCGATGCCGGAGGCCGGCGTGGAGGCGGAGGTGGCGAAGCTGCTGCTCTTCCTGGCGCCCGCGGCGCGGGCGGACCTGCAGGCGGAGGCGGTGCGGCACGTGCTGGCGCTGACCGGCTCCGGGTCCGGTCGGGCGCTGCTGGCCGGCCAGGCGGCGCTGCTGCGGGCGCTGGTCGAGCTGGCGGCGGCCGCGGCCCCGGCCCCGGCCCGCGACGCCGCTCGTGCGCTCGTCAACCTGGCTGCCGAGCCCGGCCTGCACGATCCGCTCCTGGAGGCCGAGCCCGCGCTGCCTGCCCGCCTGCTGGGCCGCGCGTTGGACCCAGAGTGGCCCTGGGCCGAGGAGGCGGCCGCCGTGCTGGCCAACCTCAGCCGCGAGCCGGCGCCGTGTGACGCGCTGATGGCCGCGCTGGCGGCTGAGGAGCCGGGAGGGCCAGGCCTGGAGCGGCTGGTGCACGCGCTGTGCACGCCCGACTACAACCCCCGGGCGCCCCTGCATTACCTGGGGCCAGTGCTCTCCAACCTCAGCCAGCGTCCCGCGGCGCGGGCGTTCCTGCTGGACCGCGAGAGGTGAAGCCCGGGGCGCCCGCGGGGAGGGGGTGCAAGTGAACGGGGACGGCACTGAGTGGTCCCTCCCCCCAGGTGCGTAGTCCAGCGGCTGCTGCCCCTTGCCCAATTCCCAGACTCCTCGGTGCGCAGGGGCGGGGTAGTGGGGACTCTCCGAAACTGCTGCTTCGAGCATCGTGAGTGGTGATGGGGGTGGAGGGGTTGCGGTTGGGGGGTGGGCTGGGGCAAAGAGACCACTTTGGACCCCTCCCCCCCAGACTGGCTCCCGTTTCTGTCTTCCCCTCAGGACACCACGAGTGGTTGCTTGGGCCCCAGGTGGACATTCTCCCCTTCTTGCTGCTGCCCTTGGCTGGGCCTGAGGACTTCTCTGAGGAGGAGATGGAGCGTGAGTGGCTTTGGTGGAGCCTCAGGGGTGGCTGGGTGAGTGGGGGGGGGAGGCCCCTAGAGGGCAGGCAGGTGCACAGATCAGGACCCTTCCAGAAACCTTCCAGCGGGGAGATGCTGAACACAGATGGGATTTACAAAGGCAGGGTTCAGCTGCCCAGTGCAGGCAGCCCCAACTCCCACACCCACCTCTAGGGCTGCCAGTGGATCTGCAGTACCTGCCCCCAGACAAGCAGCGGGAGCCCGATGCTGACATCCGCAAGATGCTGGTGGAGGCCGTCATGCTGGTGAGCAGGGGTCCTGTGCCAGTGCCACTCCCCAGTATCCCCACACCTCAACCTCTGCATGCTCTCTGCCCTGTTGCAGCTGACAGCCACGGCCGCTGGGCGCCAGCAGGTGAGGCGCCAGGGAGCCTACCTGATCTTGCGTGAGCTACACAGCTGGGAGCCAGAGCCCGACGTGCAGGGGGCTTGTGAGAAACTCATTCAGGTGGGAGCAGCGTGTATGGAGAACAGGTATGGATGTCTGTGGGGGGGGCGGCCAGGTGCTCACCTCCCTCCCCTGCCGACAGGTGCTCATTGGGGATGAGCCAGAGCCGGGCATGGAAAACCTGCTGGAGGTACAGGTGCCTGAGGATGTGGAGAGGCGGCTGCAGCAGCTGGACCACCAGGAGCGGGAGGAGCACACCTGGGGGCAGCCAGAGGAGCCGGCCCCGGAACCACAAACAGAGGGGGCTACACCTACCTGAGGCCCTGGCTCCCCACCCCCAGCTCCAGGCCCACCTTGGCCAGCCCATCCGTCCAGGCCTTCCTGCAGCCACCTGCAGGCCTCCGGGTCTCCTTGCTCAGAGCACTGTTCCCCGCTGAAAGGCGTGGCTACACTTAGGCTCAGGGTGGGGCGTCTGGGATGAATGTGCAGTAAACGTGGGGTGTCAGGGCGCTTCACTCCCCGTTGCTTCCTGCAGCACAGGTTGTTCAGACCAGCACTGGTCAGCACGAGCTAGTCAGGCTCTGCGACTCTCAGGCACTTCCAGGAGATAGCCGACGGGGCTGGGCAGAAACCAGTACAAGCCTGAGCAACCTCTGAGGGCACTACAGAGGTCTGGGCATCCAGGTGTAAGCAGGGCCCTTTGCTGCCAGTCCCACACCGCACCTTCCATTCTGGGGTCCTTAGCTAGCCCTGCCTGAGATCCAGCCTCAGAGGACTGACATCTTGTGACTGTCACCAGCCTCAGCCTGTTCTGGGATCTCCTAGGGCTGCTGCCCCTGGTTTGTCCTTGGAGCACTTGCTGGGTGCTGTCTGCCTCCTCTCCACCATCCTGCTCCGCCTGTGTCCCGAGACTGCCCTCAGCCCCTTGCTAGTTTGTCCAGCCCAGAACTGATGTGACAAGCTACGTCTGCACTAACTATGCTCTAGCCGTGGTCAGTTTCCTTGAGTTGCATAGCCCCTTGCCTCCCCGGTGCGCCTGCAGCCTCACTCTTTGCCCAGCCTTTTTCCTTAGCACCCTCTGTCTCCTTGGAGCCCCAGTGGGTCCAAGAAACTTGTTTTCCCCCAGCTCCTTATGTGGGCTCCTGTGTTCTGCAGCTGCCAAGCCTTGTAGGCTGTCCACATGGCCCTCCCCGTGCCCTGCTCCCTTCCTGCCACCGTCTCCGGGGTAGGACTCCTTTGCACTCTGGCACAGGAGTGCAGCCTGACGCCCTGAGTGTTCCAGCACCCTCTCAACATGTGCCCTCAGTCCTGTCACTGCCTCCAGAGCTGGAGATCCACTTCCATTCCTCCCATCAAGCCTGGGTGCATCCCGGAAACGAGGGGTCTCCTTCCTCTCTCGTACCCCCTGTATTTTTCTCCTCCTCCCGATTAAAGCTGTGGCGTGGAGGCGTGTGGATTCGTGTTCTCCCCGGCTGGGGAGCGCTACCGGCTTCCCCGTGGCTGGCTGCCCCTTCCTGCACTGACACGCGAGCATCCCCTCCGTAAAATAAATGCTTTATCTGGCCTACCCATCCTTGGGTGCCCAGGCAGTGCTCAGGCGTGGTCCTGACGGCAAACGTGGATCTCAGGGATAGTGGCTACCCGGAGGCGCCCACCCCCAGGCTGGCTACCGCCATGCTCCGGAGCTCCCGCTGAGCAGATCCTGCACCTCTTCTTGGGACTCCCTCTGGGGGCTCAGGCCAGAAGCATTCCCACGGTGAGTCCCTCTGTGGTGAGGGCGCCGGAGCTGCAGGCGCCGCTCTGAGTCTCTGCCAGGCTCCGTGGGATGCAGGGTTGCGGGCAGTTGTGACTCGGCTGGCTTCACTGCAACTGACAGCCATGGGGAATAAGAAGGGCCGTTGAGCAGCAAAGTCCCCGCCCGCCCTGCTGGGGCCCCGCCCACCTGGCGAAGAGCCGCGCATGGTGCGGAAGAGCGCATGCGTGGCGGGCAGCATCCAGCAGTGGGCGGCCACCTGTTGCAGATCCAGGCGTGCGCGCGGCCTTAGCTGTAGCAGGCCCCGGATCAGGTCCTGGCACTCTGTGGGCAAGGGCTCGCAGCTGTGGCCTCCCACTGGCCACTCTTGCCCGTGCCCGTGACTGTCAGCAGTGCTGGGTAGTTTGGGGGACGTATCCCGTGCAGTCACCCGAACACGTGCAGGGAGTCCGTGCTTCTCCAATCATGAGATGGAGGCACCGAGAGGTAAGGAGGTGTACCCTGGGCCGGTGCAGAGCTCAGAGTCCGCGGGACCGTTGCTTTCCAGACAAGAGACTGAGTCTGTGCCACCCCCAGCTCCGCTGCCCTCTCATCTCTATGCTGCCGTCCATTTACCAGCCCGGACAGGGGTGGGATGCCAGCTCAGCCCCCATGCCCCCGCCACTCCCCTCACTGGGGATAATGACTGGTCTCTGGACCCAGTCTCTCCCTAAGATTTTATTTGGGAAAGAGAGCATGAGCAGGAGGAGGGGCAGCGGGAGAAGCAGGCCCCCCACTGAGCAGGGAACCCAATGCAGGACTCAATCCCAGGACCCCAGGATCGTGACCTGAGCCAAACACAGCGAGGGAGCTCCTCAGGCGCCCCTGGACCCAGATCTTTCTTGCCAGGACTTGGGGGGGACCCGTGCTCTGGCTCACCTGGGGACATGCCGGGCCTGAAGGCTGGGCCTTGGCGCATGAGGTGCAGCACGCGGTGTGGCTGATGCTCCTTGAAGGGCAACTTCCCGGCCACCATGGCATAGAGGATGACACCCCTGGGGACACGGGCGGCTCAGGGCCTGCACCCTTCCTGCCCTCCCACGGTCCTGCCTGTGCCAGGGGGCCACTCACAGGCTCCACAGGTCAGCCTGCTCCCCGTTGTACTTCTTGCTCATGAGGATCTCGGGGGCTGCGTAAGCCACAGAGCCGCAGAAGGTGCTCAGCAGCGAGTCCTTGAGGCCCGAGCGGTTGGCGAAGCCAAAGTCTGTGGGGGCGCGTGGTGCCGGGGGTGGGGGGCAGGAGGGGAAGGGATGTTGGGCTCAGGAGAGGGGGCCGTGGGGCAGATGCAGAGTGGGTGCGTGTCCCAAGCACAGGTGGGGGCCAGCGTGGGGCTGGGCCTCCTGGGAGGGTCAAAGGTCAAGTCAGGTTGGGGTCAAGTCTGAAGGGGGGGGCGCCTGGGGGACTCAGTCACCTGAGCAGCCCACTCTTGGTTTCGGCTCAGGTCACGATCTCAGGGTCCTGGGATAGAGCCCCGGGGTCTGAATCCGGCTTCACACTCAGCCCGGAGCCTGCTTCAGGATTCGCCCTCTCCCTCTGGTCCTCCTCTCTCTCTTTCTTTCAAATAAATAAACGGGTCTTTAAAGCCACAAAAATTGAAAAAAGCCTGAAGCAGTCAAGAGTAGAGGCTGGAGTCCTAGCCGGTATAGCGGCTGAGCGTGGGCGGGCCTCCCGGAGAAGCTGAAGGCTGGGGCTGTGAGTCAGGGTGGGTTAGGGCAGGGGTGGGGCCGGGCCACAGGCTCACCGGTCAGCTTTAGGAGGCCGTGGTCGTCCAGCAGGATGTTCTCACACTTGAGATCCCTGCGTAGGGAAGGGGAAGCAGGGCTGGTCCTGGGCTCATTGGGCCTCTCCATGCGGGGGTCGGGGGGGACAGGTGGTGGGGGCACCCCCTCACCTGTGCACAATGCCAGAGCTGTGGCAATGGGCCACGGCACTGACCAGCTGCCAGAACAGCCCACGGGCCTCCTCCTCTTCCAGCCCTGGGCGGCAGCGGTGGCCTGACACGGCGTTGATGTGCTCCAGCAAGTCCCCGCGGGCCGCCAACTCCAGCACCAAGTAGGAGCGCTGGCTGTTGTGGTAGGTCTCATAGAGCTGCACCTGCCAGAGCCCGTCCCCAGCCTGCCATCACCCAAGGAGGGCTTGTCCAGGGCACTGGAGCAGGGGCTTAAGATGGGGCTGGGCCCCAAGCATCAGGGTCCCTGGTGGGAAAGGGGGTGCTCTTGGACAGGATGGGCACGGGCCATGTCGGGGTCTCTGCCTACCACATTCAGGTGCTTGTAGGTAGCATTGAGGGATGATATCTCACGGGGCAAGAACTTCTGGGAGAACTCCATGGGGGCCTCAGCCGTGGAGATGATCTTGATAGCCACCTGCAGGGGCAGAGGGTGGCCCTTGTGTGTAGGCCACAGCCCCTGAACGGGGATGTGAACAAGCCCCATGTCCTTTGTGCACACTGCTGAGCTTGACTGGGGCGAGGCTGGGAAGCAGAATCCCTCAGAATCCCTGGGGGTCTAGAGAGACCTTCCCCTTCCCTCCTGGCTCTGATATGCTCCAGGGGTTCTGGAGCTGGGAGTGGCCAGCTTGCAGGTTCTTGGGAGGACACCAGAGCAGGAGGGAGCTGGCACAGCAGGGAGGTGCCTCAGTGGGGCATGGGGCATGGGGACCGCTGGGGTTAGCCTGCTGTCTGCACCCATGGGAGGATACGGGCCTGCCTCACCATGGCATGGTGCTTGCCTCGCAGGTCGGAGGCCAGCTTGGGGTTGTGCCGCATGCGCTCATGTGTGGCGTAGGCCAGGTAGACTTTGGAGAAGGCCCCAGAGCCAATCTTCCTGGAAGAGAGCAGGTAGCCGTTGTCCCTGCATTCGCGCACCTGCTCCATGAAGTTTTGCTGGTCCAGCTTTCGCCGGGCACTGCCCTTCATGAAGGGCGGGGTGCCACGGGAGGGGGCGGGGCCTTGGGTGGGAGGAGCAGGGGGCGGGGCAGAGGCCTGACCGGGATCAGAAGGGCTAGGGCAACAGGGCCGGAGGAGGCTCCTGGGCCCCTCGAGGCTGCACCCCCGTTTCTGAAGTCTTTCTGGGACTGGGGCAGAGGCAGGGGAGTGACCAGGGCTGAGAGCTCGGAGTGGGAAGTGAACGCAGCCGTGGACTGGTGTGGGTCGAGGCAGGCTCTGGGAAAGCAGGGGCAGATTCCAGAACGGAGGTTCTAGAGCTGCTCTTGCATTGTGCCCTCAAAGAGGGGTGTTCTGTCCCCCAGGGCTTGCCTTCTCTGAGAACGTCTTGCTGGAACTATCCTCATCTTGCATGGGGCCTGCTCCTTGTGGGGTGAGAATCCCCAAGGCAGCGTGAGGCCTTATGTGACTAGTCACAAAAGACCCCTCAAGAAGCGTGTGGAGAGGGTGGGCGAGGGAAGGTAAGCAGGGCTTCTAAGTATACAAAGAAGGGGAAAGAAAACCCAGCGTGCGCTGGTGCGTGCCCCTCTTCCCTTGTGAGGGTAGTGTGGAGGCCGCCAGGTCCGCTGATCCTGGCCTTGCCCCCAGAGCGCTCTTCAGACTTGATGGCCCATTTCCAAGGCAAGCAAGGGTTTCCAGTCTGGGCTCTAGGAGAGGAAAGCCAACACGACCCCTGACTTCTGGCCTGCAGAGCCTTCTGGGGGCACTGTTGCCACAGGGAGTAGCAGACGATGTTAATGAGCATCTACTGTGTGGCCGACAAGGTGCTAAGCGGCACGGAGTGGCCACACCCCCTCAGTCCCTGCCTCCCGTCTACAGGCCACACCTGACACAGCCATCCCTGCAGTAGGCGTTCTCATCCATGATCGCAAACCACAGCCAAGTTCTACAGGTGAGAATTTGGCCCATCGAGGTGCACATATGTGGTCTCTCCGCTCTGAGCTAGCTGGCTTGGTGGCTGCTGGTCTGCTGTCATGCAGGTGTCCTGGGAGGGCCTGGCTCTTGGTGGAGGCTTGTTCCCTGTGGGGATCTGCAGTGGTCATGGTGTGCCTGTGACCTTGAAGGCCTGGGAATGGTCTGGTAGGACAGATGTTCTCCTAGTCCTGCTAGGTGAGAGGAGGATGAGCTGCTTTAGAGCAAGGTTTGTGTCATGTGTTCCCTCACTCACCCGCTGCCCTTGCTAGTCAAACTGCCTGGGATATAAAATATGGACAGACTTTCTGCATTGCTGATGTGCAGGTTGGGGAAGAGAAACCTCTGGATTTCAAGCAGAGGGGTTATTACTCAGGTGTTGGGGGGCTGGTGCAGTGAAAGGGAAGATGGGGTGGGTCCGGCCAGAGGTGCGTGCGCCTGCGCACTGCGACTGGGGAGCCTGGGAACCGTGTTGGCTGTCACCTTCCGGCTCCCCCCCGGTGCCAGAACGGAACAGGAAGCCACGAGAATCGTGTGGAGACAGGCAGGACGTTGAACGGTCACCAGCTCTGGGCACTCTCCCTTTGCAGAGTCTTTCGTGCCCTCCTCCTTCACTGCGCTCTCGGCCACCCCCGCATTATGAGACGCATTGAGCCCCATCATGTGCGGGGCTTGGTGCGGAGCACTTGGAAGCAAATCACAGGGACGCCTGGGTGGCTCAGTTGGTTAAGCAGCTGCCTTCGGCTCAGGTCATGATCCCAGCGTCCTGGGATCGAGTCCCACATCGGGCTCCTTGCTCGGCGGGGAGCCTGCTTCTCCCTCTGCCTCTGCCTGCCATTCTGTCTGCCTGTGCTCGCTCTCTCTCCCTCTCTCTCTGACAAATAAATAAAATCTTAAAAAAAAAAAGGAAGCAAATCACAGACATGGGCCTTTCTCTCCTAGAGCTCAGACGGAGACGGGCATCAAGAGTGTAATAAAATGACAGCTGTGGTGTTTGGTGGAGTGGCTTGTGCCCTTGGGGAGTGACGTCTGGCTAAGGCTGGGGATGGGACAGAGCCAGCAGGGCTGCTGCACACTGGCCATGTCCGGAGGCAGGGCTTGGGGCAGGAAAGTGAATCCTTCAGACGGGATCTTCGAAAAGGCCCGCCTCCTGCCCTAGCAACTTCTGCTTTCTATGTGGGGGTCGGGGGTGGTTGGGCTCTTCCCGAGGGACCAGGCCCCATCGGCAGAGCATCTCACCGTCAGCCTTCTGTCTCTGTCTTCTGGGCTCTCTCCCTGCAACAGAAAAGGGCTGATCCCCTTCCCTCGTGGGGAAGGGAATGTCCCTCCCTGCACTGTGCAGCTTCCACTGCCCCAGTGTGTGCCCCCAGGGCCCCACGCTGCACCCTCAGGCCATCAGCCACAGCTCGCTGCAAGTTGAAGACGCGGGCTAGGCCTGGGCGTAAGGCTGCCGACCACTTCCTTCTCAGAGGGCCCTTCTCGCTTCCTGAGCTGTGGCGATGCCCGCCTTTTTCTCCGTCTGCAAACGTGCCTAGATGACTTCAGCCTGCGAGGCTGTGCCCGTGCCGCCGTGCCTTGTGCAGATCGCAGCCCCCCGCCAGCTGCTTCCCTCGGAGTCCGATCCTCCTGATCCTCCTCCGTCCCCCGGCGGCGCCACTTCACAGCGCTTCGCCTGTCTTACTGTTGCCTGTTCCGCGCCCTCTGCAGCGCCCCGGCTCATCCCGACCCCCGGTCGGCCCACGGAACTCGTCTCTGCTCTCTCGGGGGTCGGCGGCCGCAGGGTCTCCGGGGGTTGGCCGGGAGCGCCGCATGTGCGTTCCTGCGTGAGCGGTAGCGGAGCGGGAGAGGGCCCGCGTGTGTCCAGGTCGGGCCCACCCGGCGTGTGTCCCTGGACAGGCGCGTGTTTGCGAGGGGCCTGGCTCTGAGCGCAGTGGCGCGCCGAGCCCGCGAGGCCGATGCGTTCCTGCCGTGCGGCGCGGGATGCGCGCGCCCGCGCCTCCGCCAGGTCAGGGTCGGAGGCGGACAAGAGCAGAAAGGCGGAGAGGGCCGGGAGCCGCGCGGGGAAGCGGGACGTGCACGCCCCGCGCCTGCGCACTGACCGGCCGCGTCCCTTACGGCCAGCGGGAGGCCGCGCTCGCGCACAACGGTCGGGAGTCGAGGTCTTCAGACGGCCGGGGGGCGGGGCCGATCGTGAGGCGGAGTTTGCGCACTCCCGCTCGCAGGGGCCCGGTGGGCGGGGTGGAGAGAGGGAGAGCGAGAGAGGGACGCGTCTCTGGCCAATGAGCGCAGAGATCGCCTGGGGGCGGGGCCGGGCTGCCGCGCGCCGGACCGCGGTTGGGGAGGGTGGCGGGGGCGGGCTCGGCGTGCGACCCAGCCCACCACTCCGGGCGGGGCAGGCTGGGAGGGCGGTGCCCGGGCCGGGGCGGCAGCTCCTCAGGTAAAGCGGCTCCCGGGGACCGGCGGCGCTCGCTCGGAGAGGGGTCCGTCGGGGGAGCCGCGGCCGGAGACTCTGGGGTCCGCGCCGTCGGCCGGGTCCTCGTGGGAAGCCGAGTCGGGAGGCGCGTCCCCAAGGTCAGCGGGCGAGCGCGAGGAGGGTCCTGGGCGTCGCGGGGCCGAGCCCGCCCCCCGGCCGGGGCCCAGGTGCGCCCGGCGCGGCCGAGGAGCCGGCGCCGCAGCCCGGAAGAGGCCCGGGACCCGGCCGCGCCCCTTCTGCCCCACGCCGGCGCGGGGTGCGGGGGCCTGAGGTGCGCCCCGGGCACGGCGGACTGCCCTCTACGGGAAGCAGAACCTGAACTCGGAGAGGCCCCTTCCCGTTGGCCGCGGGCGTCGGGGGAGGCGGTCCGGCGCAGGGACTGGTGTGTCCGGACGCCGCGGGGACTGCTGGGCGCAGCGGCCAGGTCGTGAAGCCGGCAGGTCAGGGTGAGGGCCAGGTGGTGCTGGGCCAGGCCGGCCCGCGGCCCCCGGCTCCGAGGCCCGAGTGCCGGGGCTCCCGGCTTCCTGCAGCGCCAGCACGGCTGCAGTGCAGCGCCAGGGCCTGAGGACAGGGCTCTGTTCCCGACCGCACGCTTGCAGACCTTCGCTTTGCCAGCCCGGTGGAGGGGGGCGCGGGGCTGGTCGGCTCCAGAGCCGTGAAGTGAGTCAGAGGGGTGGGGTGGGGGCCGTGGGTCTGGTGGGGGAACCGGAGGACTGGCCTTGCCTGGGGACGTGGCTGCAGTGGCTGGCTGGTGCCGGGAGCAGGTGGGGTTGGGGTTGGGGTGGAGGCTGGCTCTGCGGGCACAGTCTTGGAGGCAGGGACCACTTCTGAAAGGGATGGTGGTGGGGGGTGGAGAAGAGGGTCAGGTGTGGGGAGGGAGACAGAGGAGCAGGAGCGGTGATGCTGGTTCCTGACCCCACCGCTGAGTGCGTGATGATGCAGGAAAAGAGGCAGGTGTGTTGGGGGCCAGGGAGAGGTCGGGTGAAGAAGGCGAGGTGAGCATTGGAGCTGTTGGGTTTGAGGGGTCCAGATGGAGATACCCAGCGGGCACTGGGCCCCGGGAGACCCACGTGGGAGTTGTCAGTTGTGGACCCTCCAGCAGTGGCTTGATCGTGACGCGGCTACATCTCACGCCTGTAGTTCTGGCGCCCAAGGGGTCTGGGGATGCTGCTGTCAGCAGGGTCTTTACTTCCAGGCCTCAGGCTGTGGTGGTTCAAGTGAGCAGGTATCTCTGGTCTCTCTGTGGTGTTGGAGTGGAATGACTGAGTTGAGCTCCCTTGGTTACCTTGAAACCAGTATTCAGGCTGGCTGCCTTGCTGGGACCTGCGTCGCGCTGTTTCTCACCGCCCAGGGCTGGTTGCTGCCTCCCGAGGGACGGCCGTAGATCAGAGGTGGAAACTGGGGGGCTCATGCATGCTTGCGTTCCCCGCTAGTCCCATGTGCAGACACGGTGTCTGCACTCAGACCAGGGTCCGCTGAGGCCCAGGTAAGCGGTCCGGTCACGGCGAGCGTGTGACCAGCCGCTGCAGACCTCATGAGCCTCTTCCGTGGGCTGAATCATTCAGTCTCCTTGAGGTAGGTCCCAGAAAGCCCCTGTGACTCTTGTGGGTGCCTGGCCAGTGCTCAGGGCATACTGGCCCTGGAGTTACGAGGACTGGGATTTCTTCACCGAGCTGGAGGGCCACGTGGCTCTGGGGGTTTC